GAATAACTTAATCCCATTTTCAAGAGCTTTACTAACAAAGCAAAACTTCTTTAGCAAAAAATAAACATTATTTTTTATTCAAGACCTCTCTTATTAAACTTCCACGTACTGCCCCCAAATCTTTATTATGCACGTACATCAATAGTCTTCATTATGACAAAGGTAGAGAAAAGTACGAATGAAAATAAAAATGAAAGAATGAGATGCATGTGACGCTCTTCGATCGCATTCTCAAATTCATTCTCCTTCTCAATCATACCTTTTGTTTCACGCGCCTATCTCATTCCCACAATGTCACAGATTCCATTTTATCTCATTAGCGTCTTGTGATATGCAAATGACCGAGATTTTCCTGCTGGAACTTACACGCTCTTAATATCTTTTGAGCATTGTTTGTATCTGTATTTTCATTTGATTTACAATTCCCCACATCTTTTATGAAAGTATTGTATAATAACGTTCATTATAGATTTATCCAAATTTCTTTGAGAGAAAAATGCAGTAACTGCAGTAGGGCCAAAAACTAACTTAGCATCCTTGTGTATATCCATATACCTATTTTTGCCTGTATCCATTCTCTCTCCAGTGCACCTATATTTCTGTCTCTCACCACACACAAAAAGCCACACTCATATTCTTTCTTTCTCTTTATCTGTTTATCCATCTTTCTTTCACTTTCTTCCCTCTCTCATTCTTTTACTTTCTCTTTCTTTTTTTCTTTCACTTTCTCTTTATTTTTTCTTTCACTTTCTTTTTTTCTTTCACTTTCTTTTTTCTTTCACTTTCTCTCTCTGACCACATAATCTCTCAACCTATTTCCCTCTTTATAAACCTACATGAAAAGGTATCTTTACCTCCAGCAACATCGCACATCAAAACGCATTACACTTTGAGAAAATATATATGTATGTGTGTGTGTGTTCAGAAAATGTTACACGGACCTCTTTTTTTCTTCACTATCCACCTCTTTACTGTAAGCATAACATTCGTGATCATTATGGCCTCCTCCTCTTTTCGTTTCCTCCACCCTGCTCATCTTTCTCGTCCTCCCTCTCTTCTTTCTTCTCCCCATCCTATTTCTCGTCCTCCCATTTTCCCTCTTTTTCCTCCTCTTTTTCGTCTTCCCTCTCTTCTTTCTCCTTCTCCTCCCCCTCCTCTTCCTCGTCCTCTCTTCCTCTTTCTCCTCCTATCCCTCTATTCCTTCCCCTCCTCGTCATCATCGTCCTTCTCTGCTTCGTCGTCCTTGATGTCGTTGTCCACCCCTTCTACATTTTCTGTCTTCCTTCGTGCCTACTCTTACTCCCACCACTCTTCCTCCTCCTTGTCGTCGTCCTCTGTCTTGTCGCCCTCATCGTCATCGTCTTCCCCCTTTTCCTCTTTTCCCTCCTCCTCCGTCTCGTCCTCCGCCTCTTCCTCTTTCTTCTCTTCTTACTCGTTTTCCCTTTCTTGTCGTCGTCGCCTTCCTCCGCCTCTTCGTCCATGTCGTCTTGGTCCTACTCTTCCTCCTTCTCCTTCTCCCCCTCTGCCTCTTCTTCCTCTTCCTTCTCTTCTGCCTCCCCCTTCTCCCCTATTCCTACTCTTCCCACTTTTCTTTCTCCTCTGCTCTCTCGTCCTCTGTTCTTCCTACCTCTCTTCCTCTTTCTCCTCTTTTTCGTCCTCCCACTCTTCCTCTTTTTCCTCCTCCCTCTCTTCCTCCTTTCTCCTCCTCCTCCCCCTCCTCCTCTTTCTCGTCCTCTCGCTTTCTCCTATCCCTCTGTTCCTTCCCCTCCTCGTCATCATCGTCTTCTGCTTTGTCGTCCTTGATGTCGTTGTCTTCCCCTTCTTTTTCTGTCCTCCTTCTTCCTTACTCCTATTTCTACCACTTTTCCTCCTCGTCGTCGTCCTCTGCCTCGTCGTCCTCGTCACCATGGTCCTCCCCCTTCTCCTCTTTTCCTCCTCCTCCTCTGTCTCGTCCTCCCCTTTTACTCTTTCTTCTCCTCTTCTTACTCGGCTTCCACCTTCTTGTCGTCGCCTTCCTCTGTCTCTTCTTCCATGTCGTCTTGGTCCTACTCTTCTTCCCTCTCTTCTCCCTCTGCCTCCTCTTCCTCTTCCTTCTCCTCTGCCTCTGCTTTCTCTTCCTCTTCCTTCTCTTCTGCCTCCCCCTTTTCCCTTACTCCCACTCTTTTCACTATTTCTTCATCGTCTTCACCCAATGTCGCTCCTTCGTCCTGCCTCCCTACTCTCCACCCCCCCTTCTTCCCCTTGTCGGCGTCGTCCTTCCCTTCCACCATCTCTTCCTCACTCCCTTCACTCCTCCTTTTCCTTCTATGCCTCCTCCTCTTCCTTCTACTCATTCCCTCTCTCGTCCCCTCACTCCTCCGCCTCCTTTCCCTACAAGTCCTCGTCCTTCCCTTCGTTCCTTCGGGTCTATGGGCGGGTTCCTCAAGGCCTTCGAACAGTTTCCAGTATATAAGGCGTCGCGCGCCTGCCTGGAATCACATCGCCCTGTTCCGTCTTACTAATCCTGCAGAGATGAAGTACTTGGTGAGTCCAACACTTTGCTATTGTCTTGGTCTTTGTGACTCGATGATTTTGATCTTTATTTTTTATTATTTTTTATTCGACTTTATCATTATCATTACTATTATTATTACTCCTATCATTATTATAATTATCATTACTGATACTAATATTGTTTGTTTTGGTTCTAGGTGTTTGTGCTCCTGGTGGCTGCCGCTTGCGCTTCTGAGCTGGAGAAGCGAGAGGCGGAGCCAAGTCGTGCCTACAGCTATGGCTACGGTCTCCACCACCACGCCTACTACCCCCGCACCTACTACCACCCCTACCACCACTCTTACCACCACCACCACAAGAGGTCCGCTGAGCCTGAGGCCGAAGCTGAGCCTTCTTACGGTTCCTACCACTACCGAGGCTACTACCGCCCCTATTCCTACGGATACCAACCACACCACTACACTCCTTACGTCCACCACCACCACAAGAGGTCCGCTGACCCCGTTGCTGAGGCCGAGCCCAGCTACGGCTACGGCTACAAGTCCTACCACCCCGTGTATCCTCGTTACTACCACTCCTACCACCCACACTCCTACTCCCCCTACGTCCACAGCCACCACAAGAGGTCCGCTGACCCCGTTGCTGAGGCTGAACCCAGCTATGGCTACGGTTACAAGACCTACCACCCACGCTCCTATCCACGCCTATCCTTCTTACGGCCATACCCACTATGGCTACCACTGAGGCACCAGGAGAATGATAACTTAATCCCATTTTCAAGAGCTTTACTAACAAAGCAAAACTTCTTTAGCAAAAAATAAACATTATTTTTTATACAAGAACTCTCTTATTAAACGTCCACGTACTGCCCCCAAATCTTTATTATGCACGTACATCAATAGTCTTCATTGTGACAAAGGTAGAGAAAAGTACGAATGAAAATAAAAATGAAAGAATGAGATGCATGTGACGCTCTTCGATCACATTCTCAAATTCATTCTCCTTCTCAATCATACCTTTTGTTTCACACGCCTATCTCATTCCCACAATGTCACAGATTCCTCATTAGCTTCTTGTGGTCTGCAAATGACCGAGATTTTCCTATTGGAACGTACACGCTCTAATATCTTTTGAACCTTGGTTGTATCTGTATTTTTATTTGATATGCAAGTCCACACAGCTTTTATGAAAGTATTGTATGAATAACGTTCATTATAGATTTATCAAAATTCTTTAAGAGAGAAAAATGCAGTAACTGTAGTAGCGCTAAAAACTAACTTAACATCCTTGTGTATATCTATACACCTATTTCTGCCTGTATTCATTCTCTCTCCTGTGCATCTGTACTTCTGTCTCTCACCACACACACAAATAGCCACACTCATATTCTTTCTTTTTGTATATTTATCTGTTTATCCATCTTTCACTTTCTCACTCCCCTCTCTCTCATTCTTTCACTTTCTCCCTTCCTCTCTCTTTTCACGTTCTCTTTCTTTTTCTTACTTTCTTTTCTTCACTTTCTCTGATCCGCATAATCTACCTATTTTCCCCTTTATAAACCTACACGAAAAGGTATCTTTACCTCCAGCAACATCGCATATCAAAACGCATTACTGTTTGAAGAAAATATATATGTATGTGTGCGTGTGTGTGTAGATAATGTCACACGGACCTCTTTTTTCATCACCGTCCACTTCTTCTATAAATATAGCAGTCGTAATCATTGTGGTCCTCCGCCCCCCCCCCTACCCTGCTCCTTTTTTTCGTCTTCCCTCTGTTCTTGTCTCCTCCCATCCTCTTTCTCGTCCTCATCAACTCTTCCTCTTTCTCGTCTTCTGACTCTTCTCTTTCTCCTCCTCTTTCTCGTCCCTCTCACTCTTCCTCTTTCTCCTCCTTCCCCCCCTCCTCATCCCTCGCCTCCTCTGCTTCGTCCGTCTTGATGTCGTTGACCTCCCCTATCCTTCTCCTCTTTCTGTCCCCATGCTTATTCCCTACTCCTACTCCCACCACTGTTCCTCTCGTGGTTGGTCGTCCTCCTCTGCTCGCGTCCTCACCTTTCTCTTTTCCTCCTTCTGTCTCGCCCCCCTCCTCTCCTCTTTCCTTCTTACTCGTCTTCCCCTTCTTGTCGTCTTACTTACCTCTGGCTTCTTCGTACCATTTCGTCTTGTCCTCTCCTTTCCTTTAACTTCCTCTCTGCCTCGTCGTCGTGGTCCTAATCTTCCTCCTCTTCCCTCTCCGCCTCCTCTTCCTCTTCCTTCTCCTCTGTCTCCCCTTTTTTCCCCTACTCCTACTCTTTTTACATCATTTACTCCTAATTGTCGCCCCATACCTCTTCATCCTACCCCCCCCCCTTCTACCCCTTTTTGTCGTCTTCTCTTCTTCCACACCTCTCACTACTCCTCTTGCTTCTCTACCTCTGCCTCTTTCTTCTATCCATTCCCCCTCTCGGTCCCTCACTCCTCCGCCTCCTCCCTTTCCCCACGTGTCCCCGCCCTTCCTACGGATCTATGGGCGGGTTCCTCAAGGCCTTCGAGCAGTTTCCAGTATATAAGGCGTTGCACGTCTACCTGAAATCACATCGCCCTGTTCCGTCTTACCAATCCTGCAGAGATGAAGTACTTGGTGAGTCCAACACTTGGCGTTTATCTTGTTCTTTCTTTGTGATTTTTTTTTTTGTTTGTTTGTTTTGTTTAGTTTTGTTTTTTTATTCGACTTTATTATTGTCATTTGTTTGAAACTTTTACGTTTTACTGATATTGTTCTTTTGTTTTTAGGTGTTTGTGCTCCTGGTGGCTGCCGCTTGCGCTTCTGAGGCTGGAGAAGCGAGAGGCGGAGCCAAGTCGTGCCTACAGCTATGGCTACGGTCTCCACCACCACGCCTACTACCCCCGCACCTACTACCACCCCTACCGCCACTCTTACCACAAGAGGTCCGCTGAGCCTGAGGCCGAAGCTGAGCCTTCTTACGGTTCCTACCACTACCGAGGCTACTACCGCCCCTATTCCTACGGATACCAACCACACCACTACACTCCTTACGTCCACCACCACCACAAGAGGTCCGCTGACCCCGTTGCTGAGGCCGAACCCAGCTACGGCTACGGCTACAAGTCCTACCACCCCGTGTATCCTCGTTACTACCACTCCTACCACCCACACTCCTACTCCCCCTACGTCCACAGCCACCACAAGAGGTCCGCTGACCCCGTTGCTGAGGCTGAACCCAGCTATGGCTACAGTCACAAGACCTACCACCCACGCCCCTACCACTCCTACCGCCCACACTCCTACCACGCCTATCCTTCTTACGGCCACACCCACTACAGGCTACCACTGAGGCACCAGGAGAATGATAACTTAATCCCATTTTCTTTCATGAGCTTTACTAACAAAGCAGAAAATAAACATTTTTTATACAAGACATTTTTCATTAAACTTCCACGTACTACCCCTCAAATCTTTATTCCATACGTACATAAATAGTTTTCATTTAGAAAAAGTACGAAGTAAGAAATTGAATGAATGAGATGCATTTTTATTCTCAAATTCATTCCCATTCTCAATGATACCTTTCATTTCACACTCCTATGTTTACAAATCTCTCTGCGCCGGAAACTGTAACAGAGGCTCTAAGTTAACTAACCAAGTAATGTAACCGCAATGTAAGAAGGATTTGAACAGCCACAGAAGCCAGACTAAGTGACCACAAGCCACAATGTCACAGACAGATTCCCTTCTATCTCTTTGGCGTCCTGTGGTCTTCTAATGACCGAGAATTTCCTTCTACAATTTACAAGGCTTCTTAATATCATTTGATTTTTTTTAATATGTATATAATTGTATTTTCATTTGATATGTAACTCCCCCTATCTTTTATTAAAGCGTTGTTTGATAACGTTCATTACAGACTTATCATTTTTTTCTTCTAGAGAGAACAATGCAGTAACTGGAGTAGTGCTAAAAAACATTCTTGTGTATTTCCATACACCTATCTTTGTCTATTAATTCACTCTCCTATGTGCCTATTCTTCCATGTCTCACCACACATACAGAAATGGTTTGAAACGTACCTTTCTGACTCACCTATACTCTTGCATCTTTTTTTATCTATTTATCTATCTCACATTCTTTTCCTTCCTTTCAGTTTTTCTTTCATTTTCACTTTTTTCACTGTTCTCACTTTCTCGTTCCTTCTCTCTTCTTCCCTCCTGTCCCCTCTCCAAGGCACATACTTAGACAAACAGCTTTAGATATACCCATCTTTCTCTGACCACATAATGTCTCTACTCATCAAATTTCTAATTTATAAACCTACATGCCAAGGCACCTTTGCCTCCAGCAACATCGCATATCAGAACGCATTACTGTTTAAAAGTGAAAAATAAATATGCAGAAAATGTTACATGGATTTTCTCCTTTTTTTGCAATTACTATCAAAACAGTATCTAGGTTATTCAACCCTTTTCCTCTTTTCCCTCCTCCTCCGTCTCGTCCTCCGCCTCTTCCTCTTTCTTCTCTTCTTACTCGTTTTCCCTTTCTTGTCGTCGTCGCCTTCCTCCGCCTCTTCGTCCATGTCGTCTTGGTCCTACTCTTCCTCCTTCTCCTTCTCCCCCTCTGCCTCTTCTTCCTCTTCCTTCTCTTCTGCCTCCCCCTTCTCCCCTATTCCTACTCTTCCCACTTTTCTTTCTCCTCTGCTCTCTCATCCTCTATTCTTCCTACCTCTCTTCCTCTTTCTCCTCTTTTTCGTCCTCTCACTCTTCCTCTTTTTCCTCCTCCCTCTCTTCCTCCTTCTCCTCCTCCTCCCCCTCCTCCTCTTTCTCGTCCTCTCGCTTTCTCCTATCCCTCTGTTCCTTCCCCTCCTCGTCATCATCGTCTTCTGCTTTGTCGTCCTTGATGTCGTTGTCTTCCCCTTCTTTTTCTGTCCTCCTTCTTCCTTACTCCTATTTCTACCACTTTTCCTCCTCGTCGTCGTCCTCTGCCTCGTCGTCCTCGTCACCATGGTCCTCCCCCTTCTCCTATTTTTCCTCCTCCTCCTCTGTCTCGTCCTCCCCCTTTTACTCTTTCTTCTCCTCTTCTTACTCGGCTTCCACCTTCTTGTCGTCGCCTTCCTCTGTCTCTTCTTCCATGTCGTCTTGGTCCTACTCTTCTTCCCTCTTTTCTCCCACTGCCTCCTCTTCCTTTTCCTTCTCCTCTGCCTCTGCTTCCTCTTCCTCTTCCTTCTCTTCTGCCTCCCCCTTCTCCCCCTATGCCTACTCTTTTTACACCATTTCTTCATCGTCTTCGCCCAATGTCGCTCCTTCGTCCTGCCTCCCTACCCCCCCCCCGCCCCTTCTTCCCCTTGTCGTCGTCGTCCTTCCCTTCCACCACCTCTTCCTCACTCCCTTCATTCCTTCTTTTCTTTCTCTGCCTCCTCCTCTTCCTTCTACTCATTCCCTCTCTCGTCCCCTCACTCCTCCGCCTCCTCCCTTTCCCCACAAGTCCCCGTCCTTCCCTTCGTTCCTTCGGGTCTATGGGCGGGTTCCTCAAGGCCTTCGAGCAGTTTCCAGTATATAAGGCGTCGCCCGCCTGCTTGGAATCACATCGCCCTGTTCCGTCTTACTAATCCTGCAGAGATGAAGTACTTGGTGAGTCCAACACTTTGCTATTGTCTTGGTCATTGTAACTCGATGATTTTGATCTTTATTTTTTATTATTTTTCATTGCTATTATTATTATTACTCCTATCATTATTATAATTATCATTACTGATACTAATATTGTTTGTTTTGGTTCTAGGTGTTTGTGCTCCTGGTGGCTGCCGCTTGCGCTTCTGAGCTGGAGAAGCGAGAGGCGGAGCCAAGTCGTGCCTACAGCTATGGCTACGGTCTCCACCACCACGCCTACTACCCCCGCACCTACTATCACCCCTACCACCACTCGTACCACCACCATCACAAGAGGTCCGCTGAGCCTGAGGCTGAAGCTGAGCCTTCTTACGGTTCCTACCACTACCGAGGCTACTACCGCCCCTATTCCTACGGATACCAACCACACCACTACACTCCTTACGTCCACCACCACCACAAGAGGTCCGCTGACCCCGTTGCTGAGGCCGAGCCCAGCTACGGCTACGGCTACAAGTCCTACCACCCCGTGTATCCTCGTTACTACCACTCCTACCACCCACACTCCTACACCCCCTACGTCCACAGCCACCACAAGAGGTCCGCTGACCCCGTTGCTGAGGCTGAACCCAGCTATGGCTACGGTTACAAAACGTACCACCCACGCTCCTACCACGCCTATCCTTCTTACGCCCATACCCACTATGGCTACCACTGAGGCACCAGGAGAATGATAACTTAATCCCATTTTCAAGAGCTTTACTAACAAAGAAAAACTTCTTTAGCAAAAAATAAACATTATTTTTCCTACAAGACCTCTCTTATTAAACTTCCACGTACTGCCCCCAAATCTTTATTATGCACGTACATCAAGTCTTCATTGTGACAAAGGTAGAGAAAAGTACGAATGAAAATAGAAATGAAAGAATGAGATGCATGTGACGTTCTTCGATCACATTCTCAAATGCACTCTCATTCTCAATCATACCTTTTGTTTTACACGCCTATCTCATTCCCACAATGTCACAGATTCCTTTTTATCTCATTAGCTTCTTGTGGTCTGCAAATGACCGAGATTTTCCTACAGGAACTTACACGCTCTAATATCTGTTGAACCTTGGTTGTATCTGTATTTTTGTTTGATATGCAAGTCCACACAGCTTTTATGAAAGTATTGTATAATAACGTTCATTATAGATTTATCAAAATTCTTTAAGAGAGAAAAATGCAGTAACTGTAGTAGCGCTAAAAACTAACTTAACATCCTTGTGTATATCTATACACCTATTTCTGCCTGTATTCATTCTCTCTCCTGTGCATCTGTACTTCTGTCTCTCACCACACACACAAATAGCCACACTCATATTCTTTCTTTTTGTATATTTATCTGTTTATCCATCTTTCACTTTCTCACTCCCCTCTCTCTCATTCTTTCACTTTCTCCCTTCCCTCTCTCTCATTTTTTCACGTTCTCTTTCTTTTTTTCTTTCACTTTCTTTTTTCTTTCACTTTCTCTGATCGCATAATCTACCTATTTTCCCCTTTATAAACCTACACGAAAAGGTATCTTTACCTCCAGCAACATCGCATATCAAAACGCATTACTGTTTAAGAAAATATATATGTATGTGTGCGTGTGTGTGTAGATAATGTCACACGGACCTCTTTTTTTCATCACCGTCCACTTCTTTATTATAAATATAGCATTCGTAATCATTGTGGCCTCCTCACCCCCCCCCCCTACCCTGCTCCTTTTTTTCGTCTTCCCTCTGTTCTTTCTCCTCCCCATCCTCTTTCTCGTCCTCTCAACTCTTCCTCTTTCTCGTATTCTGACTCTTCCTCTTTCTCCTCCTCTTTCTCGTCCTCTCACTCTTCCTCTTTCTCCTCCTTCCTTCCCCTCCCTCCTCATCCTCCTCCTCTGCTTCGTCGTCCTTGATGTCGTTGACCTCCCTATCCTTCTCCTCTTTCTGTCCCCATGCTTATTCCCTACTCCTACTCCCACCACTTTTCCTTCTCGTGGTCGTCCTCCTCTGCCTCGTCGTCCTCCCCTTTCTCTTTTCCCTCCTTCTGTCTCGCCCCCCTCCTCTTCCTCTTTCTTCTTACTCGTCTTCCCCTTTCTTGTCGTCGTCACTTACCTCTGCTTCTTCGTCCATTTCGTCATGGTCCTGCTCTTCCTTTAACTTCCCTCTCTGCCTCGTCGTCGTGGTCCTAATCTTCCTCCTCTTCCCTCTCCGCCTCCTCTTCCTGTTCCTTCTCCTCTGTCTCCCCTTTTTCCCCTACTCCTACTCTTTTTACATCATTTACTCCTAATTGTCGCCCCATACCTCTTCATCCCCCCCCCCCCTTCTACCCCTTTTTGTCGTCTTCTCTTCTTCCACACCTCTCACTACTCCTCTTGCTTCTCTACCTCTGCCTCTTTCTTCTATCCATTCCCCCTCTCGGTCCCTCACTCCTCCGCCTCCTCCCTTTCCCCACGTGTCCCCGCCCTTCCTACGGATCTATGGGCGGGTTCCTCAAGGCCTTCGAGCAGTTTCCAGTATATAAGGCGTTGCACGTCTACCTGAAATCACATCGCCCTGTTCCGTCTTACCAATCCTGCAGAGATGAAGTACTTGGTGAGTCCAACACTTGGCGTTTATCTTGTTCTT